AAAGGAAGGAGAAAAGGGAGGGAGAGAAGGAAGGAGAGGTAGAGAGGAGGAAAGGAAGGAAGGAAGGAGAAAAGGGAGGGAGAGAAGGAAAGGGAGAGAAGGAAGGAGAGGGAGAGAGGAGGGAAGGAAGGAAGATGGACGAGGGAAGGAAGGAAGGAAAGAAGGAATGAAGCAAGGAAGGAGAGAGAGAGAGGAAGGAAGGAAGGAGAAAAGGGAGGGAGAGAAGGAAGGAGAGGGAGAGAAAGAAGGAGAGGGAGAGAGGAAGGAAGGAAGGAAGATGGAAGAGGGAGGGAAGAAAGAAGAGGGAGAGAGAAAAGGAAGGAAGGAAGGAAGGAAGGAAGGAAGGAAGGAAGGAAGGAAGGAAGGAAGGAAAGATACGTGTTGCAAACTACCCAGTGCACTAAACCCACTCCTGCCCTTCAAACGACCAATTCTCCACCGGTTCCACTGAGAATTACGCCCTGGGTCCCACCACCCTCTTTTCTTTCCCTCCCGCACGAAATCTAGAAAAAGAAGATATTTCCCTGCTATTTCGCCTTTTTCGAGTGGGATGATGATGATGATGATGGGAGGGGGGGCATTTTTAAGGAAGGCTCCTCTTCCCCCCTCGAGCGACCCTAACCCAGCTCAGGTCCAAAGCGGCCCAGGAGAGCGACCCGAAGGAAGACCGGAGACTTTCAGCCCATTTACAGAGTCGGCTATTAACCGTCTCATCCCTGCAGGCATTTCTCTCTTTCTGGTCGTTCGAGGCAGCCACCTTTGCAGCCCTGAATCCCACCATCCCCCCCAAAGATGTGGCTTTTCATTTAATGGGGGGGGGGAGGGCGAAGGACAGTGAAAAGCCGATCTGGGTAATCACACCCTCCCAAGCAATAAAATGTTGGCTCCCCCTCTTTTCAGCCACCCCCAAAGGTGCTTTTTTTTTTTTTCCAAAAGGCCACTGGATCGTCCAGTCGCCTTTTCAAAAAAAGCACCTTTGGAGACAACCTGGATGGAGGGAGAATCTCCGCAGAGGGCCACTCTTCAGCCACCCACCCCTTAATCGCTTATGGGACATGTAGTAGCCCGTTTTCAGGGGTTCGGCCGCGTTCCCTCCTGCAAGCTTTCCCCGGTTGTGGGTTGCGTGCGTTGCACACACACACACACACGCGCGAGCGCAAAGAGCTGAATGCCAACCTGGTCGGGGGAAAATTAGGGAAGGAGCTTAAACTTAAAGGTTTTAAGGCTCTCAGTTCTCACAAACTCACGCGGGCGGGGGGGGGTGGAAGCTGGCTGTGCACATTCCACGGGAGGAAAATTAAATTTATATATTTCTATATAGCAAAACCGGGCAGGCTCAGCTTTTTTTCTCTCTCTCTCTCCCTAACTCTTAACTCGCAAGCTGTAATTTATTTATTTTTTTTTTAAACCAGATCCTGTTAGAAGTAGAAGGGCCGACTTGAGTGCAGAGAATCAGAATCTAGCCTTGGGTTTTTGTTTTGTTTTTTGGTGTGTGTTTTTTTTTGCTTTTGTAAAATACACCTGTAATTCAACTTGTTTTCTTTATTCCTTTCCCGGAGGGGGAGAGAGAGGGAAAAAAAAGACCTTTTCGTAACCTCTTAAAGTGAGTTTAAAAGGAGGTCAAGTTATAACACAACAAACCAAGTCAAGATTTATGGAAATAATTCCTCCTCCTCGCTTGAAACGTCTAAGTGATTTTAATGAAAAAAGGTCTTTAAAAAAAAAAAAAAAAAAAAAAGCCGATTTCTCCTGCGCTGCCTAAATTCGTTCAGATGCGCCCATTACTGTTCTGTGGAGCAATGTAAAACATAAAAATAAAATATTTCTTCCTCTTTCTCCTTTTCTTTCTTTCTTTCTTTCTTTCTTTCTTTCTTTCTTTCTTTCTTTCTTTCTTTCTTTCTTTCTTTCTTTCTTTTCTCTCTCTCTCTCTCTCTCTCTCTCTCTCTCTCTCTCTCTCTCTCTCTCTCTCTCTCTCTCTCTCTCTCTCTCTCTCCTCTCTCTCTCTCTTCCCCTCTCCCTCTCTCTTTTTCTCTCTCTGTCTCTTTTGCTACTCCGAGGTCTAGGGCTCCCTTTCTATTTCATTTGATTTTCAACAGGGCTTCATTGATGTAGAAATACATTTTTAAATATATGTTTAACACCGCGAAGGGGGAGAAAAGTTTACTCTAAGATGTGGCATCATTTTGTTTAAAGGGTTTTATTCCCAGGTCACGAAAGACGGAGAATTGCTGTCTAAGGTTTGGGAAAGGCGAGCATAAAAACAGCCAGATGATAATCTAATATCAGAATGTATGTACAGTAGGTATGTATATACACGCATGCATGCATACATACACACATACATTGAAAAGGCACAATTGTATAAATATTGTGCCTTTTCAAGCGGATGGCTGGGAGCAGAATCCAGTTTTCAAACAACCCCCCCCCCCCCAATCGCTCAGCTCAACTGCCAGTTTGTTCCAAAGTTTGTCAACTTCCAGGATCCGTTTTCCCTACCTCACAATATTTGTAACAGGGTGGGTGGGAGTATCCGAGCCCACTCCCCATCCCGTCTGCAATTTGGAAGCAATTGGGGGGGGGGGAAGGGAAGGAAAAGCTTAAACACCTTAGAAAGAAACGTTTTTTTTCTCTCTTTCACCGATCCCCGCTTTGCGTCTTTTCCTTCGGCTGGTTGCAAAAAAAAAGAGTGGACGGCTTTCCGAGAATGAAGCGGCCGGGGGGGGGGAAAAATACAAATAAAAATCCGAAAATCCTCCGGGGGGGTCAACGCTCTCTCTCTCTCCTGGCTCCTTCCCGCCCGGCAGTCGCGGATCCTCGGGAAAACGCGCTTCCCGGATTTTCTCTCTCTACCCGGAGGAAATTTGCGGGTGATTTTCTCTTCTCCCCCTCCACCCTATCCTCCGGCTCTCCTCCGCCAATCTTTGCGCGGGGAGTTTCTTTTATTTAAAAATCTGCCGATCCCAACGGGGCTTCGCTTACCTAACTATCTACCGTCCCGTTGGGAATCTAAAACGGAGAAAAGCCCGGAAACTTCATATTTCTATCGACACACCTTCCCAGCAAGCGACTGGCTCAAAGAGAATATTATTATTATTATTATTATTATTATTATTATTATTATTATTATTATGGATCATCGCACAGTCAGCCAGATGTTCAGACTGGATTTGGCATTTTTGTCTATCGAGTCCTTCCCAAGGACCTGGGATTATTATTATTATTATTATTATTATTATTATTATTATTATTATTATTATTATTATTATTATTATTATTATTGATCATCACACAGTCAGCCAGATGTTCAGACTGGATTTGGCATTTTGTCTATCTATCCTGGGATTATTATTACTACTACTACTACTACTACTACTACTACTACTACTACTACTACTACTACTACTACTACTACTACTACATGGGAATTGGGGCGCTGGAGTTGGAAGCCAGGCGGGATACGCGGAGGAGAATCGGAGGAGGGTCCCTCTGTGTGTTTGTGTTTGTGTGTGTGTGTGTGGTGTTCGGTTATTTCTTTACTACTTCCCTCGCCCCCCACCCCACCGCTTAGCTTAGAAACCCGGCTTGCTCTGAACATTAAGCTCCTGATAAGAGAGCGTGGAGGCCGCGTGGATTTATCGCTTGCTGATAAGAGCCTCCCCCGCCTTCAGAATCAGGCGATAGGGGTGGGTGAGAGGAATAAAATCCCCAATCCCCAGGTAGACACCGTTTGAAAGTCGCCTCCTTCGCCAGACAGAAACAGGAGACGCGCCAAACTTTATCCCGCGCCAATCTTTATGCAAGGATCCTACCAAGATTGTGGTAAAAGCATTGTTCTGTTTATGCGCCTAGCTTTTCTGCCCTCGGGAAGATTGGAAAAGGCTAAGGAGAAAAGAGAGCGTCCCCCGGCACCGAGGTCTTGGGGACCGAATTGGGAACAGGGACCTCGAGCTGACAGTGGCTAGAGCCCCCACCCCCCCAAAGCCAGGGTTGGGCCGAAATCCTGTACCCAGAAGGGCCTTTCAGAGGGGGCGAAAAGGCAGCGGTGGCGGCTGCCTGCCAGCGCTCCAGTTCCCAGTGGAGTGATTATCTGAAGATAGAGACACGTGTCAATGGCGTAGGATTCCCCCGGGCCAGGAGGACAGAGCTAAAGTAGAGAGGAAGAGGGAGGAAGGGGAAAGAAAAAAAGAAAGAAAGAAAGAAGAAAGAAAGAAAGAGAAAGAAAGAAGGAAGGAAGGAAGGAAGGAAGGAAGGAAGGAAGGAAGGAAGGAAGGAAAGAAAGAAAGAAAGAAAGAAAGAAAGAAAGAAAGAAAGAAGAAAGGAAGGAAAGAAAGAAAGAGGGAGAGAGGGAGGGAGGAAGGAAGGAAGGAAAGAAAGAAAGAAAGAAAGAAAGAAAGAAGGAAGGAAGGAAGAAAGGAAGGAAAGAAAGAAAGAAAGAGGGAGAGAGGGAGGGAGGGAGGGAGGAAGGAAGGAAGGAAGGAAGAGGGTAAGGAGGAAGGAAGAAAAAGAGAAGGAAAAGAGAAAGGGAAGGCAGGGAGGAAGGGAGGAAAGGGAAGGAGACAGAAAAAGAGAGAGAGAGAGAGAGAGAGAAAGAAAGAAAGAAAGAAAGAAAGAAAGAAAGAAAGAAAGAAAGAAAGAAAGAAAGAGGAAGGGAAGGAAACGAGGAGAAAAGGCAGGCAACCAGGAAGGAAGGAAGAAGGGAGGAAAGGAAAGGAAGGAGAGAAAAAAGAGGACGAGAAAGAAAGAAAAAAAAGAGCCAAAGAAAACCGTAAAAGTAGGAAAGGAAACCAAGAGAAAAGGATGGAAGGAAGGAGGAAAAGAAAGAAAGAAAGAAAGAAAGAAGGAAGGAAGGAAGGAAGGAAGGAAGGAGGGAAAGAAAGAAAGAAGGAAAGAAAGAAAGAAAGAAGGAAGGAAGGAAGGAAGGAAGGAAGGAAGGAAGGAAGGAAGGAAGGAAGGAAGGAAGGAAGGAAGGAAGGAAGGAAGGAAGGACGGCGCCCACTTACAAATCCGTGCTTGTCCGATATGTTGTTGGTGAGCTTCAGTTTATGGAAGGCCACCGGCTTGGCCATCCACTGCTCGCCCGTGGCCGGACTATCCGGGTGGATGTACATCCTCTTCGGCATCTCCGGGTCGGCTTTGCCGGCCACCATCCAACGCGAGTTGTGGAACTTGTAGCGACAATCGTCGGCAGCCACAATATCCATCAGCAAAATGTACTTGGCTTTCTTATCCAGGCCGCTGACCCGCACTTTGAAAGGGGGGAACATCCGTCTGAAGGCGAAAGAGAGAGAGACGAGGCTAAGTCTCCCCGCAATTCCAAGGCGAATTTTATTACCTATATATATATATTTAAATTATGAATCAAAAGAAGAATCTATCACACTTTGCAACCCACTTCTGCACCTGTCCTTTCAAACGAAATGAGTGATCCCTGGTTAATAATGTCCATGAAATGCCACAATTCTCTCTACATTTCCTGCTCGGACGGCTTGAAGGTCTGTGTCCCCCTCCCCTTTCTATGATACAGCCTCCCCCCCCCCTTTTCAACTGGGGGAGACTCGGTTTACTCCCGAGTAATACACCGCTTTACTCTTTTCCCTGGACGCTTCCACAGACTTCAATGAAACATCCCAAGAAGGAACTGAAAAGGGGGCAGGCAGGAGTAGGTGGGGGGGGTCTTTCCCCTCTTCTGAAACTCGGAGCAATTAATCCGGAGTAACAACGTCTGCTTCCTTCCCCCCCCCCTCCCCGCGGGATCGCCCCGATTTTAGCCCCTGCGGGGGGGGCATTTCTCTCTTTCGCTATCAAAACAGACTCGGGGGGCAAAAACAATCTAGCCTGCATTCATTCGGTTAAGGAAATAATTCTAACCGGTCCAATCATTTCTGCTTTAGAAGCCCGAATAAGGCTACACAATAAAACCTTTTCAATTAAAAAAAAATAACACAAAAAAACCCCTCTCTTCCTACCACCTGCAGGCACCTATCCAGCCATTTTAAAGAGAGGTGCTTCCTACTCAAGGGAGCTTTTGCACTTTTACACTTCTCACACACACACAAACACATACACAAACGCACACACACACACACACAGGGAAATAATCCGAGTTATGGATTTGCACCAAAAAAAATGGGAAATTATGAAGAGGGAGGTGATTTATTCCCCCTCCCCAGGTCCCTTTTCCTGGAGTTCAAATTAAAACAAAAACTAAAACTAAAAGACGGAAATCTGGAATTAAAAAGCCTGCAGGATTCTCTCTTGGAGAAGAAGCGGGACTTCGCTTGGGTTTGACTTAAAATCAGCCTCTGTGTCCGAGGTTGGCTGGATAAACCCCGAGGCTAGGGAGGACACGGGGGGGGGGGAAAGGGGGTGTACAGAGGACCCCTTTAATAACAGAAGGAAGAAGTGATTTAAAAAAAACAACAACGCGAACCACAGGCCGCTGGAAGAGAGACAAGCGGAAAGGAGAGAATAAAAACGCATAGGGGGAAAAAAAAGGCATAAAGTCCCTCTGTAAAACCAATAACTCCTCTGAGTGCCTCAGATATTTTTTAAAAGGGGGGACAAAAAGCAAGGGTGCAAATGACACCCCCCGTACACACACACACACACACACACACACACACACACACACACACACACACACACAGATCCAATCAATTTAACGGGCCTAAAAACTTGAACCAGGAAGGCCGGCCGGGGATGGATGGGAGATTATAAAAATCTTAGCAGTTTTTCTTTTGCTTGAATTTTTACTCGCGTGGAGACCTCGCCGTTGCCCCGTGCTTTGGGGAAACCGAGCCTGGGACACTAGGCCACCTGCCCGCCCTCTCAGACTTTTTACACGGGAATCCTGTACACGGATTTTTTGGGTGTTTTTTTTTTTCCCCTGCCAGCCGCCCCCAACTATTTCCAGGTGTGGCTTTCCAGATGTTGGAGCATTAAAAAAAAAACAACAGTTTTTTTTAATCGTTCTGATTTGCTCAAACGATTCCGAATGGGAGAAGAACAGACAGAGATATTGCAAAGGGACCAGCAAGAAATTCTTTGAAAAAAGAAAAAAAGCAGGTCAACCTTTACGTAGAAATAAATTGCACGTGGAAATAGAGCTTAAAACTGCAGTTCCGCGTTTAAAGAATAAGAATCGGAATTCTAAACGGGAGGGGGGGCGGGTTTGGAGGCCAATTTCTCGAAAGAGCTTCCAGGAAATCATCCTGTCTTTTTAAAAAAATAAAAAATAAATAAAATAAAATAAATTGCTTTCAGGCCCCTTGTCAAGGCCCCCACCCCGCTCTCCTAACCCGCCTGTCTGAAATCAACCCTCCGCTCTTGTTTCAGGATTTCCAGGGACCCCCAAACGGAAGATCCCCTTCCGCAGATACCAGCCTAAATATTTGGGATGCGAAGGGAGGGGGGGTGTTTCAAACTGGAGAAATTGCAAATATTATTGTATTAGTAACGTGGTGAATTCTCGCGGAAAGGAGAAAAAAGTTGGTTTTTCTCTGCTTTCCCACGGAAAACCCCAACAGAGGTTCTGGAAATTATATGATTTGTTCTTTACTTCTTACTCCTTTTCCGCACTTACTTCAAAAGGGCACAGCGTGTTGATGATGATGATGGTGGTGAATTGGACCAAGACTGAATTCTTCCTCTCTCCTTAATATATACTAAAAATCCTTCTGCATATATATTATTATTATTATTATTATTATTATTATTATTATTATTATTATTATTATTATTATTATTATTATTATTATTATTATTATTATTATTATTATTATTATTATTATTATTATTATTATTATTATTATTATTGAACAAGGACAATTCGTCTTTCTGTCCACAATAAATACTAACAATCCTCCTACATATATTTATACGTAATATTGCTATTTTATTATTGCTGGACAAGGGCTGAATTCTTTCCTCTCTCCACAATAAATAATAAAATCATTTCGCATATATATTATGTTGCTGTTTTATGATTATTGGACAAGGGCTGAATTCTTTCCTGTCTCCACAGTTAAGTAATAAAATCATTTCGCATACGTATTATTGTGGCTATTTTATTATGATTGGACAAGGGCTGAATGAATTCTCCTTCTTTCCATCATAGATTCTCAAAATCCTTCTGCGTGTATATTATTATTGCTACCGTATTATCATTATTATAGGACAGGGACTGAATTCTCTCTCTTTCCATAATAATTACTGAAAAAAAACCTTTTGCATCTATATAATTATTGCTATTATATTATTGTTGGACAAGGATTGGATTCTCTCTCTCTCTCTCTCTCTCTCTCTCTCTCTCTCTCTCTCTCTCTCTCTCTCTCTCTCTCTCTCTCTCTCCACAAAATTGCTAAAACCATTCTGTCTATATTATTATTGTTGGTGTTGTTAGCTCTTTGGGAATCCGGTGGCCTCAAAATCTAATCCACAGGGCTCTAGCCAGGCAGAAACTTCTTACGTTTTCTGCACTACTTAGCTTCAAAGGGAATAGCATCATATCGTCTTATTTTAGGATGATAACACACAAGGGCTGGCTTTTTCCCCCCTTGAGGTCCATAAACACTAACCACTCCTTCTGCACATTCCATTATTATTCCCATTTATTCCTAATTCTTGTTCTGTGCAGCTATGCCTTGAAAGAAGACCCTGTACAGGGACAGTTGACTACATTATTGCGACCGTGGTTATTATGGTAGTTATCCATTCCACGGCTGGCTTTTCTTTCCCTCCCGGTGAAATCTACTTATTGTTGTGATGATTATTTTTTATTAATAGCGGCGGGGGGGGGGGCGGCGGCGGGGGGAAAAACTCTCCCTTACCTGCCCGATTTCGTGATCACCATCTCGGTGCCCAGTTTGTGGAATTCGTCCCAGAGGTCTTTGGCTTCCAACGTGACTTTGGGGTCGTCTTCCACCTCCTCCTCCGGCTCCAAGCTTTTCAGCGACCGCAGATGGGCGGCTTGGTGGTGGTGGTGGTGTCCGAGAGCCGAGACGTGCAAGCCGGCTTCGGCGGCGGCGGCGGCGGCTCCAGCCAGGCTGGGATCCGCCAAGGGCTTGGTGAGGGCGGCGGGAGGGAGAGCCAGCGCCGGGAAAAAAGAAGGCTGGGCGGCCGCTAAGAAGGCGGACATGGGGAAGTCGGCTGGCCTGGGCGCGTGGAAGGGGTGGTAAGCCATCGCAGCCCCGGAGAACGCTGGATCTCTCATCGGGACATCCACAAAGCCAGGCGGGAAAAGCGAGGCCCCCCAGGCCGAGAGGGCTAGCGGCGGGAAGGTAGAAGCCGGCGGCGCCCCGCTGAATTTCAGCCCGGCTTGCTTGGCGCTCAGCAACGGAGGTCTAGTCAGTTTCAACCTCCCGGCGCTTTCAGCCAGGCTGCCGTCTTCGCCTCCCTTCGGAGCTGGGCGGAGAGGGAGGGGGGGAGAAGAAGGGAGCAGCGCAGAAGACGGCTGGGGAGCCCAGGCCCCCGCCACCACCGCCCCCGCCACCCCCCCTGGCGACCCCGGCGATCGGAAGCCTCCGGACGGGCTCCCGGACCCCCGGAGGGGGGGCTTCTTCTTCGCCGCCGCCAACGGGAGGCAGGCTCGCAGGGAAGGGACCCCCCCCTCCTCCTTCGCTGAGATCCTCAAAAATCAAGAAAATCAAGAAGATTCCCCCCCCTCCACCGATTCCTCACGCCTCGGGATCTTGCAGCTTTCTTTGGGGGGGGTGTTTCTTTAATTTAAAAAAAAAGAAAAAAGAAAAAAAGAAAAGCGCCTCTCCAGTCGAGCTTGCAAACTTGGGGGGGTGGTCTTGCTTTGGGAGGGGGCAGTCGGGCAGGGCAGCGTCGTGTCCCCCCCCCCCTCTCCCGGGCGCCTGCAGCCTGGAGAACGACTCCCGGGCCCCTTCCGACAGAGAGAGAGAGAGAGAGATCGAGAGCCGAGTTGGATCTTGGAGGAAGAAAAGAGCGAGCGGTTCGTTCCGGGGGCTCTGGCACTCAGCTCTTGGGCCGCCGGCTCTGGCTCTCTCGGCCTTTTTTTCCCAATCCAAAGCGAAAGCAAAGGGCGGATTCCTCGGATCAAGAAGCGCGAGGCTCCGGCGTCGGATCGAGCCCGGCTCGGGGGGCGAGGAGGAGAGCCGGACGGTTCATCGCTCCGGCCGGGAGGACTCCGGGTTGAAATGCTTCTCTCTTGTCCCCTGCTGGCTTCGCTCTGCGAAAAAAAAAAAAGAAGAAGAAAAAAGAAAAAAAAAAAAGCTGGGGGCTGTCTCGCGTGCGCCGCCTCGCTCCTCTCCCCGCTTCCTCCACCTCTCCGCTCGCTCGCTCGCTCTCTCCGCTCGCTCCACCCGCCGCCCACCCGCGTCCCCCCCCCTTTCCCTTTCCCTTNGAAAGAAGGAGGAAGGAGGAGGAGGAGGAGGGAGAGAGAGAAGGGGAGAGTGAGTGAGCGAGCGGGCGAGGAAGACTTGGGCGAAGGTGTCGGAAAACTCTGGCCAGAAAGCAAACATGTCAACAGAATAAAATATTAACCAAGGCTGGAGGCCTTAGGAGGCCTCCTCCCCGCGCCAGACCCGGGGTTCCCGGGCGGCAGAATCCTGGCTCGCCAACGCGGAGGAAGGTTCTCCGGAGCTGCTGCTGCCGCCAAAGGCTGTCCGAAGCCGCCCGGGGGAGCCAGCAAGGCAGCAAGCGCAACCTTGAAGAACGGGCATCCTGGAGCGAAAGGCAGAAGATTGGCGTCCCGGGGGGTGGAGGGATGGGTGGGTGGAAGGGGGGGGGGGTTAGGGGCTTGCACGAGGGAGGGGTCAGGGAACAAGAGACGAGGCTGACCCACGGGGGCGTCCTAGTTCCACGAAGCAGGAGTTAAAGGAAGGCCAATAAGCCCCCTCCCCCTTCCCCGTTCCCAAGACCTTTAAACACGCGGGGCGTTTTGAGAACACGGCGCCGGGTTAAAACCTCGGATAAGGTTATTTCTCCCTCTTTGCCGAGCTCCTTCGGCCCCCGGCGCGCCCCAGCCTCGTTGCAACCCCAAGCCCGGCGCGTCTTTCTCGGATTTCCCCCTTTCCCACGTCTCCTTCCCTCTCACACACCCCTTCCCTCGCTTCCTCCCCTTCGGCCCGGCGCCCTAAGGCTTAACGCTCCGAGGAGGCGCGTTTGGACCGGGCAAGGGGGTTTTTTTGGGGGGGGGGGAGAGCTGATCTGGTGCCCGGTTTTGCCCCAAACTTGCAAGGAACTCAGATCGCCGGTGTCAAGTCCGCAAGTGAATAATCTTGCCCGCCAGGGTGTTCTCTTTGCCCAGTCAAGACCGAGGGATGTAGTATCTATCCCTGGGCGAAGGTTGAGCGGACGCTGCCCCGAAAAGCTTGCAGCGCCCCAGTTATAAGGGACGCCGCTTCCCTCCCGAGTCCCCGGAGCCGGTTGGTTTGTTACCCTGCGGGAATAAAACCCTTTACTTTGGGGTAAAAAAAGCCGGGGGTCCTGCTAGAGAGCAGGCTGGGCAGGGCGGGTGTAAACCGAGAGCCTCGGCCAAGCCAGCCCCTCGCCCTTACTCGGGAGTAAATGCCAACTTCGAGAAAAGCGGCGCTTCCAACTTCGCGCGGCTCTTTCGGGTCTCTCGCTTAGAGCAGCGCCGGGTCCAGCCCGAGCCCCAAGGGGTGCTCCCCGCGAGGCGAACAGACGCCCCCCCCGCCGCCCAGTTTGAAGGTGCGTGTGTGTGTGGGGGGGGGGAGGAACGAAAGAGAGAACCGGGGATCGAGCGGGTAGAATCCTTTGAATCAGTCCTGCCGGAGGGGGCTCCTTCGTCCTGTCTTTCCCCCCCGAGCGAGAGTTGGAGGCTAAGGCGCTGGCTCCTTCAATCGAGACGCAATTAGGAAGGAAGGAAGGAAGGAAGGAAGGAAGGAAGGAAGGAAGGAAGGAGCTGAGTGGAAAAACCGGGAAGGAAGGAAGGAAGGAAGGAAGGAAGGAAAGAAAGAAAGAAAGAAAGAAAGAAAGAAAGAAAGAAAGAAAGAAAGAAAGAAAGAAAGAAAGAG